GAGGTCTCATCGTAACAATGGCCATGCCATGATACCATCTTCAGAGAATTATACGTCCGACAGAAGCAGTCGTGATCTGTCACAACTACAAATGTCTCTTCATAAAGGTGGGGGAAAATCTGGATCTTCGGATAGCCCCGCTGGTTCCCCTAGAAGGAAAGTACACCCTAATGCGAATGGTTCAATTCATTCCTCTGAGAAAGTTGTAGAATTTGGGGCAATGGGACATGGCCCACCAGAGGGACCTGCAAATGGCAAACATACAGACGCTGGCTCATCATTCGGCCAGAACTCAAGCAGTGACCATTCATCACCAAGGATGCAGTTGACAAAAGCTGAGTTGGTTACAGATCAGGATAGGTATTACAATTTCATTTGTTTTTAAGAATTCTTAGTCACCGATAGTGAACATAGGACTCCATTTAACCTTTTGTTTTTGGACATGCAGGATCGCTGCACAGTCATACCGTTTGAAAGATGAAGAAGATTTCCCTCCTTTATCGGCCTGACAGCAGCATGAGTGATACTCTATTTATAAGGTTGGTAGAATGAAAGAGTATTTACAGTAATTGCTAACATACCGGATTGAGCCTGTTCTCTACTTATATGGCTCTGCCGCAAACTTTTTTTTGGAAGCGTTGCATATGGAGTTAGATATTCTGTTTGTTGGAAGCCATTTGTACATTTCAAGTTATAAGTTTTACACCCTTTAAAAATCTCGACAGCTGTGTGCTGCACCGAGTAGTTCATGTATAGGTTGGTTTGGTTAATCCTTTTTCCCCAGGTTTTGTTCTCGTCGTTGCCCCCCACGGATGGTTGTAAGAAATGCTTGTTCGAAATATTGTTGCTGATGTTCCATGTAACTTACATTCAGAATCCTTTTAAGTAGACAGATTGTCGATTCAGTGGTGCAAAAGGGCCTTTGATGTGCTGAGATTTGGCCCTTGGAAAGACTTTGGGGTATTGAAATATCTTGGTCCTTTAGCAATAGCAGAGTCAATTTGATGTGCTGAGATTTGGCCCTTGGAAAGAAAAAATCAAAGGAAAATGATTTTGGTTCAAACTTTTAAGCATTTATCTATGGGAAATATTTACAAATAAAGTCGGTTACAAACTCTTAATAAAAAATATACGGGGATATTAAATAGTCAGCGGTCTATAGATAAATCATGGTATAGTTAACTATTATTGATTTTTTAGTATATGTCCAATTCATATTTTATTTAAAAGTTCGTAATCGGTTTTGTACAGAGGTGGTGCTATCCACATATTCATTGATTTCTCACACACCCATCTCGATTTTCGAGTGTCGGGTCTAATAGATTAGAAAAGATCAATGAATAAAAATTAACAAAAATGTGTGTGAGGTGAAAACAGATGTGTGAATAACAATACCTTATATGGGCTTATGGCCATTCACATGCTAGGGGCTAGTAGCTCCAGCCGGTCAAATGAGTATTATCCCTGCATTTGAAATCATATGTTAAATTCCTTCCTTCCTAGTATTGCTTGTATAAACCAATATTTAGTTTCATTGGCGGCACCAATCGTATAGACAATTATCATGTGTTCAATTAATACATCGTTTGTCTATTAAATACTTATCACGTGGTGAATCAGTTTCACGAGAGAATATATAACGGGAGCTTTCACAGAAAATCATGATTGATTTTTGACGAATTTGGAGTTGAGGCAAGTATAAATATTTATAGCCTTCCAGCTACTGTGCGGGTAATGCAGACGGTCATATTATCGGACTAAAATGTTAAGGTGATGCAGGAACAGGAAACATTCAACCATCAACATTGTGTTCCATAATTTCTCTTAGTTTTAATTCATTTATTGTTTAAAGCAATGTTTTATCCTTTCTCTCATTTTTTTAGACCTTCTCTTTGCCTGGGCTATTTTTTTTGTTTATTTAAAATCAAGCGATATTATTAGTTTAAACTACACCAAGATGAGGCGAAAGTTTGAATCTGCGACGCTGTGGGCTGAAGAAGAAAGTCATAACCATAACAATCCATCACTTGCTTGTCTAGACTTATTTAAGTTCTAAAAGAAAATTTCAAATTTTGAGGTCAGCATAGGTTAGATTTTTTTTAATTATGGGAGTAATCGACCACATGCCCTAAATTTAATCTTACTTCTAAATAATTTGAATTTAGAAATTCTACTGCTTTTTATTTAAATCTATGAAGTTTCTTAGTTCTATTTTCTTTTCTTGCCCCAAAAAATGAATAAATCAAAGATTGCTGAAGTGGGTACTTGGTATTGAACCCACAACTTGGGAAGTGTAGATTTAGATTAGCCACTGACTATTCCAATTATTGTTCACCAAACGATATAAAACTGCTTCAATTATCAAGTCGGTCGATGACATAAAAATGTATATGCAGTGGTTCTTACAAAGTCTGTATTTTTATTTTTCATAAGACCAACTCTGATGGTTGAGTTAAACGTAAAATTTAAGTTTTAAATTCGACCAAAATTCCTCTAATTATTGAGCTAAAAAAAGATTTTAGGTTAAAACTTATTTTTGTGCCAAATTTAATCCAGAAAATGAGTCAATGTTAGTAGCTGAGACCTAGTTGCTAACGCTTTTATATTTTATTTTTTTAAGTAAAGTCGGTCACTTATGGAAACACTACAACTATTTTTTTGATCCGACAGCCCAAGTGGTTGGACCATTGGTTTAAACAACAATCCATATTCAATTTTTTCTTTAAAAAAAATAAATTTATAAATATATTAAATTCAACAATTGAGATCGAACACGAACAAATCTAACAATAAAAAAAATATCTAGCGACTCAAAATTAAATCCAACATGCTTAAAATTTTCATATATCAAAATTAACAAAATAAAAAGCTCCATTTTTTATTTTAATTCTCATTCTTTGCAATATTCTTTTGAATCCTTTTTAAGTGCATGCACAATGTTTTTTTGTCAAAGGATTACAAGGCGTGTGCCATTTGATCTGGCATATAAGAACATTATGTGCATATATAATTGTATTATGCTTTCTGAATTATTAAGTTTTTCACAAATTTGGGCAAATTGTATCATCACACATGCTACATATTATTTAATTTCCTCAAAATGTATTATTGTGTTAATTATTCAATCTTCATCGACAATAAAGTATAAAGTAAGGGTTTATTACTAATAAAACAAGTAGTTAAGGTCAACCCTACAATTGTAACAAATCACACATTCGGGACAAAGCTCATGATGTCAACAAATATTTTACTTTTAAAAATCAATTTTAGGGCATACACCTGGGAGAGATTTTGCGGTGTGTTGAGAACATAGCTTAATACAATAATGATAATAATATAATTAGCTAGAAACTTGAAGAAAAAAAAAATTTAAACCATTGTTATGATACTTGGTGTACCGGGTCATGTTTCTGATACATTGAAAATTTTCTCCACACCAAGGATTTATAAAGAGAAAAGATAAAAATAAAAAATGGTGGTCGGACTCTTTCAACAAGATGAGCGTGTTCGATCAAAATGGAAAACTTGAAAATAAAATATTGTAATAATTCTTTGCCAACCACATCACTAAGTAGTACCTCAGCAAAAATGGATTAGGGTTTCTTATTTCGTGGTTGAGAATTTTTAACCATTATAATATTATATGTTTATGTTTAATCACTATTCTAAAAATCCCCACCTAACGCCGTCTAGGCGCTTGGCAGTTGATCACTGCCCCGATTAATGCCTAGGCGTTTGAAAATTAAGAAAGGGCTTACTGAGGCGCCCGCTTATACCCCCTAGGCACTCGACTAGCCCACCTAGACCCACCTAGACACTCGCCTAGATTGCGACTCATTTAAACAAAAAATAGATAACTTTCATTTTGCATTTTATTTTTTCAATAAATTGTAAGAGACTTGTTGAATACTTGTTCCCCATGTTTTCATTATGTTCCAATAGCTCATAATATATGTCATTCCATTTCGTAGTTTATGATGAAATCATATATATTTTAAATATAAACAGACACTTATTTACACGAAATATAATAAATTTAATTAAATTCACCTAGTCCGCCTAAGCGCCCGCCTAGACCTCGCCTAGATGCTAGACCCTAACTCACCGCCCAGTTAACGCCTAGCGTCTTTTAGAACCTTGTGTTTAATTAGTGCCATGCAGGCTCCATCTTAAGCAATATTTACTTGTCCAGCTTCAAAGATAAACTTATGTATAATCATAAATATATTCTCAAGTCATGTTAATGCAGTGACACAAAATAGAGATGGAGATCAATCTCCGATTACATATGTAAGTGTCACCCAGCCTCCAGGCTCTAGCTATGTGCAACTGAAGTTAATGACAGGTTGTTGAAGAATAAAAAAAAAATCACGTCGAAGAACTAACAAAATAAATTACAATATGTATGAATGGTGTACTGCTACCACTGAAGTCTTTTGTGATAATTCTCTCACACCTATCAGCCTTGCTAGTGGAAATATGGAAGCTGGAGAACAATATTAGCAGGATTGGGAGTGAGCCGATGACTCGTTGTTCTGAAATCTTGAAAATTCCCTCCTCTCAAACTATGTATGAAGCTCCAAAAATCAGATAAGGTTTAGGGTTTAAGTTAGAAAGAAACCAAAAAAGAAAGTCGAAGTCCTAGGGTAAACACGATCGAGATGAGGTATTTAATGTTATTGAGTGAATTAAAAGCCTCAAAATTGAAGTCCTGGCATCTGAGTGTTCTGAATCTTTCTGCTCTCAATACTGTGCAGTTTCCATCACAGAAAAACCTAGACTTCCCCTTCCCAATACAATCACTCACTTAAATAATATAAACCAGTTAACACTGTCAACAATAATGTTCCTGTTCCCTTTTGGAGCAAATTTGGACTCCTTCAAATTCCGTTAGCTCCGTCAAATGGGGACCCCAAACAAAAAAAAAAAAAAAAAGAACAAAGAAAAGTCCCTCCTATTTTCTTTTATAACATGAACCCATATCCCCACATTTTTCCACCCCCACCTTTTTTTCTATCCATATTATTGTTGCTTGCAAAATTTGCAAGGCTCCCATATCTTTCCAAACTCACGAGTCTCTCTCAAACTAATCAAATCTCAATTTTTTTTCCATAATTTTGATTGTTATTACGGTTTTTATTACATCCACAAATGGTACCATCAAAGCACAGCCACAGATTCTTCAAGTTCAGGATTAATATTCCAGTTCCATGCCAAAATCCAACATGTGCTCATTTGATACTCTAAGTTTTTTGATATTATTGGGAAAACAGTCCTCCTCCACAAGCTAGGTTCAATTTATTTCCAGTACATTAGTTGACAAATATTGTTCTCTCTTCCCTACCACACCCTACATCTCAACAGTTTGCTCCATTTAGTCTGTCCTTTTCTGAAAAAAAATCTTTGATTAGAATCGGATCTTCTTCTCTTCCTCTATATTTAAATTCCTTGGTACACCTTCATCTTCTACCCAAATGGTTACCAAAAACTACGAAAGATCGTGTGGTGTTGTGGAAATGGCTTGGATCATGCTCAGCGTTGATTACTCGAGGCTTTTCTGGTTGCTGTATAGAGTCTTCTCTTATGAAAATCATGAGGGAAAGCCTCGGATTTCCTAGCACGTAGAGAAAAGTCTTCCACAAGCCTCATAGTAAGTTAGTTAGTGTTGAATTATAAGTTTATAATTACGAGGTATTGCGTACGTACTACGTAGTATATAATCAAGTGAAAAGCTGCTGGGACTTGTTTGTGGTCGGAGAGTTTCAAAGGGTTGCTTGATTAGTTCTCAACCATGAACAAGAACAACAGCCGGATCGGAAGCAGGTCTGCCAATGGAGGCAGGCCACAATCACCTGCTTACGTTGAAACTGATCCATCTGGTCGCTATGGACGTGTAAGTTCCTTTTACTATTTCTTTTTTTATATGGTCTTTAATTAACTAGTTGCTTGGGGAGTATAATTTGTAGTTATATATATGTTTTTCTACTAAACTATTTTAGAAATTTATATAGGGAATAAGGTTTACACATATTTGACCAAAAAAAAAAAGGCTTACACATATTTGCATGCAAGAAAATTACCATATGATGATTAATTTTTTAATTCGATACTCATTAACATTAACATTAAGTTTATATTTTCATTAACCAATTAGAAGAACAAGAATATAATTTATGAACCAAATAATGGATGGTTAAATACGTTAGTTCCCTACGTTTGCCGAGTCAAACTTTCATGTTAATTTGTACAAGATATTAATTTAAACTGATTTAAAACGGAAAGAGTGTCATCCGATCAGTTTTATTCTTAAATTCGCCCAATTGGATGATGCAACCTGATTGATTTTTATATTCTACCCTAAATTTGTCCTGCTTGTCTATTTGTAAAGACATGCTTCCAGGGAAACTTGGAAATGGATTAATTAATTTGGATGATAATTAGTCAGATCATTAGCGCTAATTAAGAGGGCAGTTTTGTTCTTAATTGATGTTTCTTTCCAAGCAGTTCAGGGAAATGCTTGGCAAAGGAGCCATGAAGACAGTTTACAAGGCATTTGATGAGGTCCTCGGAATGGAGGTGGCTTGGAATCAAGTCAAGCTTAATGATGTCTTTACTTCACCGGACGAACTTCAGCGCCTATACTCCGAGGTTCACCTCCTCAAGAACCTCAATCATGACTCCATCATCCAATACTACGCATCTTGGATCGATGTTAATCGCCGAACCTTCAACTTCATCACCGAAATGTTCACCTCCGGCACTCTCAGAGAGTAATTAATTAACCTCACCACTTATAACTAACAGCACACAACATGACTTAAATGTGTTAAGGTAGTAGTTGATCATGGTAAAATATGGCAACTGGAACTTCTAAGTTTAAGTTATTTGTGCACACACAAAAAATAAGGGTAGCAATTTTCACACTCCAATAATAATTTAAACAGGTACAGACAGAAATACCAGCAAGTGAATATTGGAGCAGTGAAAAATTGGTCCCGACAGATCTTGCGTGGTCTGGCTTATTTGCACAAACTTGATCCACCTGTGATTCACAGAGACCTCAAGTGTGACAACATCTTTGTTAATGGCCACCTAGGGCAAGTCAAGATTGGTGATTTGGGCTTGGCTGCTATTCTTCGTGGTACGCAACACGCCCACAGTGTCATAGGTAATGATATTGAACTACATCTCTCTGATTATCTTCCTAATTTTTCAATTTTAATTTGCTTCTGTTTCATCAGGTACACCAGAATTTATGGCGCCTGAATTGTACGATGAGGAATACAATGAGCTGGTAGACATATATGCCTTTGGCATGTGTGTGTTGGAAATGCTTACTTCAGAATATCCCTATAGCGAGTGCTCAAATCCTGCCCAAATTTACAAGAAAGTTACTTCAGTAAGTTTCGTCTTCAGTCTTCACTTGCTCAGCAATGTGAATGTGTCACATTGCATGACACATGTATATATGACATGTTATATTATGTGACTTTTGCTTTCAGGGGAAGCTACCAAACGCATTCTACAATATTGAAGATTTGGAGGCTCAACGATTTGTAGGGAAGTGTCTGGAGAATGTTTCAAAGAGGTTGCCGGCACATGAGCTATTGCTAGACCCTTTTCTAGCCTCTGATGATGGAGAGCTAGCGTCTTCCCCAAGAATCCCATTTCTGAAGTTAATTCCTGATAATGATCCAGTCGTGGAGGCAGAGGATGAGGAGGATGAGCTACATTTTGCCGCTGAGGTTGATTTGGAAAGAAGCACAAACATGATCATCACTGGAAAAATGAATCTAGAGGATGATACTATTACTCTCAAAGTTCGAATTTCTGACCTGGACGGTAAATCCTCAACCCTAATTTAAATATTGCACTATATGACTAACTGGTCATGTAGATTGAAATAGACCCTTAAACTTTTTAGAGTATGTAATCTTCTGTATTTGTGATGTTTTCTTACAGGGAAAAATGTTAGGAACATATACTTTCCCTTCGACATTTTGAACGACACTGCGATTGAAGTAGCAACGGAGATGGTGAAAGAATTAGAAATCAATGACTGGGAACCGCCAGAGATCGCAGGGATGATAGAAAACGAGATATCTTCTTTGATTGCGGGTAGTAGAAATGGGGCTCACCCCGAGATTATCATCCTCATCAGCACAGCTTTAACTATGAAGAAGAAGATGATAATAATAATGGTGGTATCACCCATCATCCTTTCTACGCATTCTCTTCCTGCTCTTCATCCCAAAATTCTCTTCATGCTTTGAGCTTTCACTGCAAGAATCATGATTCGCTTCAAGGTACATTTATGAAAATAAAAAAATATCTACTCAATTAGTCTTGCTTGTCTAATATTTTTCAAATGCAATTGATCTGATATATTTTAATGTAGGTGATCTGTTTATGAATGATGATGTGAGTTCTCAGAGTTCATTCGACTCCTGCAACTACTCCAACATAAGTTACTACTCAGGCAATGAAGATGATCTCCTTGACATGAGCTTCGGAAAGACTACTCACAAATCTACTCGGTTTGTCCTTCAAAAAGCAGGGTTGCAAATACTTACAAACATTGCAATTCACAACTAGATAACCACAGACCTCAAAAATTGAATCATCATCATGAAAGAAAATTACCCAAAATTCAATCACTCATTGACGTGCACAGCCAATTGTTGCACAGGTCACTGGTGGAGGAGGTAAACAAGAGGTGGTTGTTTAAGACTGTTGGGACAATTGAGAACGTTGGGTTTCAAACACCAGGAAGCTAGCAGTTGTAGTTTCCTTGGGAGGCAAGTAACAAGTTTCTTTACACTTGCAATGTACTAGTGTGTGCGTAAATAAATAATTGTTGTTAAACGTTCGAGCCATAAGAAGATTTTATGGTTCATGATAATAACCGTTGTAGATTATGATTGTTATGAACCTGAGACATAATTCTGCGTAGTGGACTTCTCTTTTGTGTAAAATTTGTTGGGTTTCGTATGCCGCTTATTAACTTATTGTGTCTAAATTGAAAAAGTTTAAACTAGGTTTCTAGAGACTGATTTCATATATTCAACTTAATTGAATTTTGTTAAGTTACTCTACAACAGCAGCTTGATCTTTATACAAGATTTACATACACATGCAATAATAAAAGCTACGCATGCAATAAACAACTAACAGAAAGTGTTTGTCTAGCTGTGTTATTCTTCTGTCCATCTTCATAAGCACATGGCTTAGCCTGTGTTATTCTTCTGTCCATCTTCATAAGCACATGGCTTAGTAGCAGCATAATCATTTCAAGTCAGCAGCACATGACTTGGTTTATCACGCCCCCGCAAGCTAAGCGGTCGACCAAGAACGGGAAGCTTGGAAATAAGAAAGTGAAACCGAGTGGAAGACAAGCCTTTGGTCAGAAAATCTGCTACCTGATCCGAAGATGCAACATATCCCACAATAATTTCCTTCCGAGTAACCTTCTCACGAACATAATGATAATCAACTTCAACATGTCGCATTCGTGCTTGATATACAGGGTTCGAAGCAACGGCAAGAGCACTTATATTGTCACACCATAACCGAGGGGGGTGTAAGAGAAAGATGAAGATCATGAAATAAATTGCGAAACCAAGACAAAGTAGCAGCAGTATAAGCGAGTTGACGATACTCAGCTTCAGTGCTTGAGCGAGAAACACCACGTTGTTTCTTGGAGCTCCATGAAATTAAATTAGATCCAAGAAAAATACAATAACCGCCTGTGGAACGACGATCATTAGGATCACCGGCATAGTCCGCATCCGCATAAGCGGTGATGGAGAGGGAACTTGGACGATAGAGCAAGCCATGATCATGAGTGCCTTTAAGATAACGCAAAATGCGTTTGACAGCAGCCCAGTGTACCGTTGTGGGAGAGTGCATGAACTGACATACTTGATTGACAGAGAAGGCAATGTCGGGACGAGTAAAGAGCAAATACTGAAGGGCACCCACGATACTACGGTATTCAGTAGCATCAGAAAGAGGATCTCCTTCGTGAAGAAGCAAACGACGGCCAGGAGATGATGGCGTGTGGATGGGCTTGCAGTCGGCCATGTGTGTGCGTTGAAGAAGGTCCCTGATATATTTGGCCTGGGACAAATGAAATCCAGATGTGGTACGAGTAACCTCCATGCCTAGAAAATAATGGAGAGGCCCAAGATCTTTCATAGAAAAAAGTGAGCCAAGCTGAGCAATGAGTCGAGCAATCTGCGAACTATGATTTCCAGTGACCAAAATGTCATCAACGTAAATCAAGAGATAAATAATGGTGGTGCCATCAAAGTAAGTAAATAAGGATGAGTCAGCTTGGGAAGCAACGAACCCGAGTCCCTCTAGATGATTGGAGAAGCACTGAAACCACGCCCTGGGGGCTTGTTTGAGTCCGTAAAGCGAACGTTGCAATTTGCAGATATGAGTTGGGAACTGAGGATCAACAAAGCCCTGGGGTTGTCGCATATAGACATCTTCAGAGAGGGAACCATGTAAGAAGGCGTTCTGAACGTCCAACTGTCGGATAGTCCAATTGTAATGCAGTGCAACAGAAAGAATTAATCGGATGGTGGCGTGAGTAACCACAGGACTAAACGTTTCAGCGTAGTCGAGGCCTGCCTGCTGATGAAAGCCATTAGCAACAAGTCGTGCTTTAAAGCGTTCGATGGAGCCATCGGATTTGCGTTTGATTCTGTAAACCCATTTGTTGGGAAGTACATTAAGATGTGGTTGATGCGGCACAAGAATCCAGGTGCCTGTGCGTTGGAGAGCGGTGAACTCCTCAGCCATGGCTTGACGCCACCGTGGACATTTGTTAGCCTGTGTAAAACTGGAGGGTTCAACCAAAGGATTAGCAACAGCAATTAAAGCATAGCGGGGATTAGGTTTACGAATGCCATCTTTGGCTCGGGTAAGCATGGAGTGAGATGGTAGAAGAGGTGTCAGGGGCACAGTGCTCGTGATCCCAATATTCGCAGGGGAAGGGTTAGAGGTAAGGGAAGGAATAGTGGGTGGTATGAGAGGGATAGTTGGGTTGGCAAACGGTGGAGTGGTAGTGGATAAAGGTAGAGATGGGTTAGGATTAGGTGGCAAGGTTATAGGGTGGACACGGTGGGAAGTGTGGATGAGTGGGTTTGGAGGTGGCAGGATGGGATCAATGGTGATCATGTCAGGGGATGGAGTATGCAAAACCGGAGGAACAACCATATCCTTATAGGGAAAGCATTTTTCATCAAAAATAACATGGCGAGACATAAAAAATTTACCCGTGGATGGATCAAAACAACGATAGCCCAGCTGATTTAAAGAATATCCAAGAAAAATACACTTTTTAGACCGGAATTGAAGTTTGTTTTGAGTATATGGGCGAAGATATGGGAAGCATGCACATCCAAAAACCTTTAAAAATTCATAGGTAGGAGGAGTGGAGAATAATGTTTGAAAGGGAGATGCATTATGTAAAACTTTGGTGGGCAAGCGATTAATCAAATAATTGGCAGTGTGAAAAGCCTCTACCCAAAACGTGACAGGTATGGATGCATGAGAAAGAAGGGTAAGGCCAGTTTCAACTATATGTCGATGTTTACGTTCGGCAAGGCCATTTTGTTGAGGGTGATGAGGACATGTAAAACGATGATGAATGCCATGAGAGGATAAATAGGTTTTAAAAACATGATTCATATATTCACCACCATCATCGGTTTGCAAAGATTTGATGTGTCGACTAAACATATTTTCAACGAGTTTCTTGAAAGTGACAAAAGTATTAAATACTTCGGATTTTAGTTTTTAAAGGATATATCCAAGAGTAGCGCGAATAATCATCAATAAAAATCACATAATATTTAAATCCATCAATCGAGTAAGACGGGGAAGTCCATACATCCGAATGAATTAAATCTAAAGGAAATTTGGAAATTGAACTTGAAAGCGGGAAGGGAAGCTTGTGACTTTTGCCTAGAGGACAAGAGTGACATAGAGCAGAAGTCACATGACCATGAATTGGCAATTTATTTCTAGCAACTAAAAACTTTAAAATAGAAGAAGAAGGATGCCCTAATCTAGAGTGCCACACTGCATCAGAGACGCGACCACCATAAAATGCAAAAACGCCATGTTTATTGTTTGATGAAAGACTGGAAAAAGGATAGAAGCCGTTCTTACTCCGGCCTTGCAAAAGGATCTTCCCTGTTGTTAGGTCCTGAACACGATAAGAATGGGGATATAAGGTCAGGGAGCAGTGGTTATCCATAGTAAAACGATTGATAGAAATAATATTGGTGGAAGCATTGGGACAATATAAGGTGTTGGAAAGATTAAAGGTATGGGAGGGAGTGCGAATATGTGAGTGACCAACTTGAGAGATATGCAAACCTGTGCCGCCAACTACACCATTCACATGGTGATTTCCATTGTACTCTCGGGGATCAGCCACTTGTGTCAGATCATTCGTAATATGAGCATTAGCTCCAGAATCAAAGAGCCAATTTTGAACTTGAGGAGGAGCCACGGGGAGATGGTCAGGAGCATGAGCAGCGGCAGCAAAGGCCTGAAGCTTGGTCGCAGGAACACGACCTTCGTATGCCATGTTCATACGATTGTAGCAATTGATAGCAGAGTGACCAGGTTTGTGGCAGATTTGACAATGAACACGACCATTGGGATTAAAGCCATGACTTTGCTGAGGGCCAACACCAAGGACACCATCATTAGGAGCACGAGCTCCTGGCTGTTGAATCACGCCACGACCACCAGAAAAATGACCACGGCCGCCACGACCCGCAGCAGCATGAAAGCCACGACCACGACCAGCACCGGCCTGAAAACCGCGCCCTCCACGGCCAGCAATGAGAGCAGTAGGGGCAGCATCAAGGTGGACCACCTGACTCATCTTGTGGCGACGTTCGGCACCGAGAAGCAAGGCCTCCAAAGCACCATAGGAGATGGCATCCTCGCGAGCTTGAGCAGACGAGACGGTGCTTTCAAACGCAGGACCAACATTGTTGAGAACAATGGCTACCAAGTCCGAGTCTGAAACAGGAGACCCCGAGAGAGATAGAGTGTCAGCGAGAGAGTTCACACGATCCAGAAAATCAGCAATGGATGAATCACCACGATGCGTGTTCATCAGATCACTCCTGAGTTGTAAAAGACGACCAGTTGATGTGGAAGCATAACGTTCTCGGAGAGAAGTCCAAGCGGAGTGAGAACTATTTTTGCCAATAAGAGTGGCCAAAACAGTGGGGTGAACGGAACTGTTGATCCATGATATAACCATGGCATCCTGCTGCATCCATAGTTCGAAAGCAGGGTTGACAGCAGTGGTGAGATTGCCGTCAGTGTCTTTTAGAAAAGCCGAAGGACACAGATTAGTGCCATCAACGAAGGAGACGAGGTTCCTGCTACGAAGCAGGGGAAGCATTTGCGCATGCCAAAGAGGGTAGTTGGTACGATCAAGCTTGATCGTCAAAAAATTGGAGACATTAGGGATAGCAGAAGGGGTTAGGGCAGAAGAGGAATCGGAGGAGGAAAACGCAGAAGAGGCCATAGCGAGAAAAAAAATTCTAGGGTTGTCGTGAGACTTTCTTAGCTCTGTGATACCATGAAAAAGTTTAAACTTACTTGGTTTATCATAAATATACAAATCCATACTGATTCAAAATAATACCTATCATGTCGTGATCATGGAATCAGACTCCAAATCCCTGATTGATCACCTCTCAGCAAGGGCCCGACCAGTGAATCTGCGCCTCAACACAGAATCTCCAAGGTGGCGACAGTCTTTCAATGGATTCTCTGGAGTTGGACTGCTCGTGAAGCGAATCATGCAGCTGACCTAGCTGCCTCACTGGCCTGGAAGAAGATGAGTGATGATATTTGGGTCTCGCATCACCCATCTTCTTTGGTTCATGTTCTCTCGAGGGACGGTCTCCCATGCCCTAGGCCTCCTCTTAACCCATAATGCTTCTGGGCTCAAGCCA